GAATCTGGGCCTATCGTCAGCTACACATTCAGTTAGAGGCTGGTCTGGGCTGCATGAAATCCTGGTTGAAAAATAACAGTTATACTAACAAGGAGATAAAACAATGGAAAATATCAGTAAAAGCTAAAGGAAATAATCAGAGGATCAGAAAAGACAAAGTAAAAGGGGTCATGTTTCATAATTTAAACCACAGAATGTTTTCAAACACGAAGTACATCTTATTCATTTATTTAAAAATATTAAGACTATATAAACCACTATACTTCATGTTGGGCAGCTATGAGAACTTAGTTTTGATCTGAAGACACCAGAAAATGATAGAATGATATCTTCGACATTCCAGTACTTACTGAAACATCTATGTGTTTGCATTTGGACTCTTAGAGTCTTTAGCAAGTTTGATCCTACTGTGGTGGACAGCAGTATGAAGAGATAAAGTCATATTTGCCAAAGCCATGGAAAATCCCACTGCTCAGATTCTGTGAGGCTGCTGTTCTGCATGGAACCGCCGCCGTAGCTAACATCTGCTCCTGTTCTGTGCCCAAGCGATTGATGCCTCATGATTTAGGAGGAACTGCACACTCAGAGACTGGTATCTTGGTTTAGCTTCAAGAATTTTAAAGAAACTCAGAGAAGTTTCATCTTCATGGTTGCTGTGGTAAATTTTACATGCCTTAGAAAGACTGGGAGAACATTCATTTCTAACCATACACATTAACAAGGGGAAGATGCTTGAGGGTATGGATCATGAACAAAATAATGACTGTTAAGGTAGGACAGAGAGCTTTGTAAAAAACAGCGCAGTTATCAGTCTTGGTTTGACAGAAACATTGATAGAGGAAGATCTATAAGACCCAATTAGAGAAAATCCTCACGGTACAGAGATTAACAAGAGTTATGGGAACAATCTATGGAAAAGAAAGATTTTGACTTATGAGAAACTCAGTAGAACAACGATTCTGAGGGATATCATTTTTAATTTTCTTGCTTTCAAGTTTCATAATTGTAATGGTATAAAAATTTTATTATCCTTTAGAGACAGTTATGCATATTTAAACACTTGGTGTATGTAGAAAAACTCATTCAGCCACTTATATGGGTGGATATTTTTTAAAACTAATAATTATAAAATGATGGTCTTTAAATGCATATGATTATATCTTCTAAATAATATCATTAAGCATAGTATACCATAATCATACTTATATTCTGCTTTTTACTACTCTGAATGTTGAGGCTGTGTCACATCCTCTTAGGTAAGGCTTGGCCTTCTTGGACAAACTTTACTGAGCCCAGCGAGCTGAGAGAATAATTAAAAACTGATTGGCTTTGCCAAATGCTTTCATATGTTTCTGGTCTCATGGAAAATGAGTTTTGATTTCATTTTAGCTCCATGCATGGCAAGGCAGGGAAAAAAAAAAGCTAGCAACTTTCAACCAGCTCTCCTTAAATCTGTGGCTCTCACTGCTTTGAGCTGCTCTACAGGGTTATGGTGGAGGGCTTTCTAGAGAAGGAAGCCCACCTTCTCCCCCAAGCGTTAAACAGTATGATCAAGAAAAGGGACCATGCTCAAATTTAGGCTATAATCTAACTAATTTTGCTCCAAGTTTTGAAATAGAACGTGAAACAGTTTTACATACTTTTTCTTTTCTTTGTTGTTGTTGTTCTTTTGTTTTGTTTTAAGATTTATTTTATTTATGAGTACATTGTAGCCGTTTCTAGACACACCAGAAGAGGACATCAGATCCCATTACAGATGGTTGTGAGCCACCATGTGGGTGCTGGGAATTGAACTCAGGACCTTTGGAAGAACAGTCAGTGCTCTTAACCACTGAGCCATCTCTCCAGTCCCTGTTGTTCTTTTTTGAGACAAGATCTTACTATGTAGCTCTGGTTGTCCTGGGAATTACTATGTAGTCTATGCTGGCCTTGAATTTACAGAGATCTGCCTGCCTCTGCATTGCAGGAGCTGGTATTAGGTGTCACCACTATGCCTGGTTTATTCCACACTTTTTTTTTCACCTTCTGAGGTAAAAATGTGTTCTTTATGACAGATCCAGCTTTCCTTCTGAGACAGTTCTCTTCAGCAGTGGAATTCAGAGTCACCAGGTCACGTCACCAACAGGCAAGTCCCAGCATCTTCTCCATCGAAGCCCTGTGCAGCCCCTTTTAGACTTAGTTGATTTATATTCAAGTTTGCTCCAGCAAGACAATGAAGAAGCCACTCGCCGACTGGACTTACTGGCTTATACCAATCACAATATTTTGCCACTACGACTATCTTCATATTTCTTCAAAGCCATTAGCTTCTTACCTAAACTGTTACTATTCAGACTTCTATTTTGACAAGTACCTGATGGCTTCCCTGTAAACAAAGATACAGGGATGGCAAATAGCTTTGAAAATTAACTTGATTTCGGTATCAGAAATACATGACCCCATTGAATAGAATAATCTCTAGTTTCTTGAGGTTGTTTAAATTAAAAACATGCGTTTCTGCAGTTGGGAAAACATGTATGGTAAGACGTTTGAAGCCCATCAATCTTTCCCACCACATGAGCTAATGAATTCCTTCTGTTTGCTTTGAATGAAATCACCATGAGTGGCTAGATGTTGATTTAACATAAAACAAATGGAAATGGGTGTTTCTTTGTCCTTTGTAGAATCTATTAAAAACAAAAACAATTAGCGAGTATGTTGGGGAAGTCAATGATTTCGACATTACTTAAATAACAATATATATTGAGTAGTTGGATCCGTTGGATTTGAGGAAGGAGTGATACACTCCAGTTTTCCTGGTGCTGCTCACACCTGTAGACACTAACACCCCGCTCATGTTTTTCTATGACCACAACACCTGTAATGCTATAGATTGCGTTTTGAATAGTCGTGAAGTATCAGGTATGTTATGTTTTCTGGGTGCAAACAGGATCTGTGGAGTGTATCAAAAATGGCTCCCTTTCAATGTCAGGGCTCTGGCTAACAGCTTCATCTTGACCATTTCAATTGAATTGATTCTTTCTTATGGTATATAAAGAAGAAAGTAAGAATTTAAAATTTCTAAATATTTAAGACATCTTGGAGAAGACACATTGCTAGGTGTGTGTGTGTGTGTGTGTGTGTGTGTGTGCTGGCATAGCAAGTTTTCTTATGGTGAAAACATTTTGAACCTTTGAGTTGTAGAAAATACACACCCTATTGACTCAAGATTGGAAATGCTTATGGGTCATTTTATATTTCCTAGAGTGTTAACTCACTTTTGGCAAATTTTCCTCTGTGTGTGTGTGTGTGTGTGTGTGTGTGTGATGCTGTCTCCTTAGAAACATAGTGGACAGTGACTCACTTTATGTCTTGGGCATCAAAGAATATCAGACCTATGAAATGTAGACAGTGGTTTCTTTGAGAGATTCTTTCTGAAAGAATTAAATAAACGAGCCAACATATGGCCAGCTTAATTCAGGCAAAAATGTCTATTGATTACTCACTAAGCTCACTAAATAAAAACTTCAGGCTAAGTTTTGCTTCCCCAAAGAAAATAGGATTAGACGGGTCTGTGCACTCACTGGGGCTTCCTGTGAATCAGGCCAGATGAATGAAAACCTTCAAAGCTGAACAAAAGAACGGCTAAATTTTTTTTGGCAAATGCAAATTATTAGTAGTTTGACATACTGTGTTTTACACTCACAAATAAGACATTTTTTTTAAAAGAGGGGAATGTGATATTAACGATTTTTGATGTCTGAGAAGCATTTGTCTTCCTTCTTTTCAGCTACTTTAAGTAGGCTGACTTAACTTTACTAGGTGGACCAGAGCCTTGTACAGCCTTTGACTAGTGGCAAACCTACGCACACTTGTAAAGTTTTCCACGAGCTCTGTGAAGGTGTGTATTTTCCAGGCTATTTTAATTCTGCGTGGATGGTATTTGAACTGGTGTGTCAAAGAAATTCCAAGTGAAGAGTGTCTGTCCTTTAAAGCACAGGTACTCTTGGCACTCCTCATTTTATTAGCACCCTTCATCCAGTAGAAAATACGAGGTCACAGGAGACTCTCTAATCTGAGCATGGTAACGTGTCAGTGATTTGGATACATGAACATTTACCTTCAGGTTTTCTCCAGTCAAGAACGCATTTGACCAGTATTTGAATGATTTTAGTGCTGCAAATATTTGGCTTTGTGACAAAATGCAAATGCTAATTGATATTCAGAATCTTCGAGTCTTCGGAGCAATCTCCTGTTGACATTTTAATAACATTGTTTGGAATGATTTCCGAAGTGTGGTGACGGCAGCTTACCCGCAGTAACAAAAAGTACATATTGTTTCTGAAAGCAAACAAGCTCAAGTTTCACCCACTTCTCTAGAGGTCTCCAACCTGGGGGAATTAGCCTCTCGAAGGCAAATGGCTGCATTCATTAGCTCACTCGGGAGTTTAGGAACTCACTGAGAAACTTGCTGCTTTCTGCTCAGAAACCTTATAATTAAAAAGAAAATCCAGATTTTATTTATTTATTTACCTCCCGGGCAGTAGACGTTTACCTAGTTTTTAAACGTTTATTTATTTATTTTCTCCTAGCACGATGGTACTGTTGTGGTTTGGTCCTTGGCTTGTTTCTGTCCTTTGCTGACACTGTCAGCAGAGAGGGGCAAGGAAGTGTTTCGAGAGGACAAGAGAGGTTTCAATATGAGGAAACGAGGGAAACAGACCTAAGAGGACTGTGAATGTTCTAGCAAGCAAAGCCTTGCAGTCTCCTTTCCTTCCGTTGCATATCCTGGTGAGTTTAATCAAAAACAAACAGAACGCTCTTGTGAAATATAGTCAATAAAGTCAAAGTTTAGCTAGCTCTATGTAACTACAAAGAAAAAGTCATCGCAATTAAAAAAAAAAATGTAACTTTCGTTAACGAGCACGCCGGAAATCTCAGGTATCAAAGACGCCTTAGCCCTGGAGCGTCCCCTGCGCGCCGCCGCCGGACGGAGGCAGCCGCGGCGAACAGACCTCCTTTCTCCTGCGAGCAGTCACACAAAAGGAGGGCTGCGGAAACTAAAAGTTTCGGGGCCTCCGGCTCGGGGCACGCGGAGCAGAGAAAACCTGGAGACGGGGTGGGTAAAGCACGCATCCAGAGCGCCAGGAGCAGTCCAAGCTTGGAGGGAGCTCCTGGGCCTGGAGGGGAAGAGGGACACAGGGAGCCGGGTCTCAAGCTGCAGGCCCCAAGCCCGGCCACCGGTGGCCCGAACTCGAGCTCCCTCGGATCCCCTGCACTGGGATCCCGAAATAAAAGCGATGTTTGGAAAGTGCGTGTGTGCGCCCGGGCTGCAGAGCGTGCAGCAGCGGGCGCGCTGTGAGTGGAGTTCGGGGGAGGGGAGGGGGCGGGGTGCAGAGAGGGTGAATGCTGGATCCTGAACCCCCGGACCTGGCTGGGGGTGCTTGGGGAAGGTACGCCAGCCGATTGCTGGGGGAGGAGAGGGGAGGGGCGCGAGCCTGCGCGGGCGCCTCTGGGGCGCGTTCCGCGGCCGTGCGCGCGTCCCCCGCCGCCACCGCCACCAGCGCCTCCCGGAAAGCCCTGCGGCCGCCCCACCGGGCCGAGCCCGGGCCGGCCAGTCTTGGGGCGGCTGCTCGGCCGTCGCCACCGCCACCCGAAAGGCTAGATCGCTTGTAAGTGTTCCCCTTTGCTCCTCCTCCTGCTCCTTCCCCGCGCTCGGGCGCCCGGCTGCCGCAGCTGCTCCAATGGAGTGGAAAATGGCCATTGGGCGCAATGAGTTCTAGATTATCTGCTCCGCGTTTTGTACTCAGCTGCCTGTCTTCTTTAGAGTTTGCACAAGCCCCTTGGCTGGCAAACCAGGGAGGGAGAGACTGATGCTGCGCCGCGGTCCGCGCTCATATGTTTATATGATTAGCAGTCCTGGGCTGAGGGGGCTGGGGGTGGGGACTGACGAGGAGGAGGAGGAGGAGGAGGACGAGGAGGAGGAGGAGGCAGGAGGTGACTCCAGTTCAGCCCTAGCTGAGTCCGTGTCAGGACTTCGGGCTCCCCGCCTCTTGCTCCCTGCTCTCCTTGCTCTCCTCTAGCTCTCACTCTCTCCCGGCTCACACACACTCAGCACACACACACTCACACACATACACACACGCGCGCGCACCCGCACGCAGAGGTACCCGAGCGCCATCGGGAGCTTACCGGAGGATTCTTGGCGATTGTTGAGGGGACCAGCCTCCCTCCGCGGCTGTGCAGCGGCGCGGATCTTCCCTGCTCCATCCGTCGCTTTCCTCGAACCCGAGTTTCTCACCTCCTGTATCCGCGGATCCACATCCCCCTCCCCCGCGCCCCCCGGGCCGGGAGACCCGACGTGTGAAGACGGGCCGGCGGCAGAGTCGTGCCCCAGGCCGCAGGGGCGGCGCGTGCGCCGGATGCAGGTCCTGCCGGCGCTGCCCGCGCGCTCCGGGCTCCGCCGGACTGAGTGACGGACTTGGCCTCGCTCCCCGGCGGCCGTACTCCCGCCGCGGCTAGGGGACTCCCGAGTCGGCGCACCTCCGCCAGCCGTGCTCTCTCATCCCCGCATCTTTTGGTTTTGAATTTTGATTTTTTTTTTCGTCTCGGGAGGGAGCGTGCAGCGGTAGGCGCGCGCGTGTGTGGGCAGAGCCCCCTGTGTCGCGGAGCGGCGTGTGGGAAACTGCGGGAAGATGTTGACTTAGCCCCCGGCAGCCGCCCGGGCCGCTGGGCTGCTTGGCTGGACTCGGCGGCTGACGGCGGTGGAGACTCGAGCCGGAGGACACGCCGAAGAGCCGCGCGGCGCCGCGTCCGGCCCGCCAGCCGCCGCCTCCTCGCGCGCGCTCAGCCAGCAGGAGCACCCCGCGCCGGTCGCCTCGGCCCTTCTCTCGCGCCGGTGTCCCCGCGCGGCTCCCCGCGCCAGATTGGCCCTCCCCCGGGGCGCGCTCGCACACCGAGGTAAGCGCCAACAATGTGCCTCTGTGCTGGCTTCGGAGACCTGTTTGCTGGGCGCCTCCCGATGGGGCTGACGGCTCGGGAGGTTGGCCGTGTCGCGCGATAGACCGGCTCTGGCCACTCGTGCGCAGCCCTTCCCGCCGACATCGATCTGCAGAACTCTGTGCGGTGCAGCCCGCTCGCCGGGCCGCGTGCGGCTATTGTCACGCTCTCGGGAATCAGGCTGGCTGCTGGGGACCGAGAAGGTGGGGAGGGGGGTTTCAGGTTTGCGAGCCAGTTCCAGCCTAACCTTGCATTTTTTTAGGGGTGGTGGTGGCGGATTTCTTAAAAATCTTAACAGGGACCAGAAGGTGCCCTTGGTTCTTCACGCAGCGGGGCTGGGGAGGGGACTGTCCAGTGCGCACTCGGGTTGTTCCGCTCAAGGTGTTGGGACCCTGGCTCGGCGGGGACTAGTCCGTAGGTTGTCGCTGGGAGCGAGTCCCTGGGAAGGGGGTAGTGGGGGAGGGCTTGGATGAGTTGTTGCGGGCCGTTGTTTCTTGTTGGTCAGGTGGTGCGGAGAGGCGAGGATGAGAGCAAAGCACAGCCAGATGTGGCGGCGCCGGTTCAGAGGCTGGCAGCGATTAGGGACGGTGGGCTGCTGAGGCCAGGGGAGCCCGGCAACGGAGCCCGAGGGTGGCGGGGCCCTGGGACTCGCGGGCCAGAGCCAGGGTAGAGAAGCTCCCGGACCCGCAGTGAGAGGGCAGCAGCGGGCCGCGCTGGGCCTGCAGCAGAAGTTAAGGGGCGTGGGCTCCCGGGCTGCCTTTGGGGTGGGGAGCCTGCTGGGTCTGGTGCGAGCCTCAGGTTGAAAGCAGTGGGGAGAAGTAGTCGTGGGTGGAGCACGAGGCCTGGGAGACCCTTGGGGTCGCGGGCGTGGGCTCCTGAATCCGAGACTGTCCGCCAAACTGACCGGGGGAGATCCACAACGAGGAGTCCCTAGTATGCAGGACTCGTGCACTTGGGACCAGCAAAGTTTTTTCTCTTCGTTGAACTGCAAGCTTTGGGTTAGAAGAAAGCGCTGGAGGCCTTAGCGAGTGCTGGACTGGCTCCGAGTAGAGGCCGAGGCTCGTGCGTCTTCCTGGGTGTTTTGGACCCCTCGGTCCAGCCTGTCCTCCAAAAGCAGCGTCCTGAGCTGCCCATCATAGCCCTTCCCTGGCGTGTGGGGGACCCCTCTCCCCTCTCTCCTTTCCTCTTTTCTCCTTCTTCCCCTTTCCTGGCCCCTTCATTCCGTTCCTCCAGATACAAACCATGCTTTCTCAGATTCAGACGGAGGAAATGTTTTCCTCCTGCTTTACGAAAGGTGTCAGGCTGCTTAGCAGCTTCTCCATGCAGCCTGGGCGCGCCTGAGCTTCAGCAGCAACCAGATGGTTGCTGTTACAAAGACCAGGTTTCCAGGTTTCCAAGGAGCTCTCCCGCCCCCCCCCCCTCCCCGCGCCCCGCTGCTTTATCTTCTGCATTTTCCCGGTGCTAGATCCCTTTGCTTGTTCCCCATCTCCAGAGGCATCGCGTTCCCAGTAGTTGGTTCATTCATTTCTCCCTCTGCAGTCTAAGTCTTGAGCCTGCCCCTCCAAATTGACGCTGCATAACTCTAGCTCCAACCTTGAAGAAAGGCACGCCCGTTTGGTCAATGATTGCCTGCTGGGAGTTCCCTTGCTAAGTCAGGGTCCATGGCGGGTAACCTTAAGAAGCAAACGCTAAAGAGGCAGTAATTCGTCCACAGAAATACAGAAGTTTTTGGGGGTGACCGTGACAGCATCAAGGTTGGATAGGACTGTCTCGAGCCTAGCCAAAGGTAACTCTAAATGTAGTGTCCTTTGATGCTTACTGAGTATCTTAGAAACGCCTTCTAAGAAAATCTGCTTAAGTTCAGGTGTGTTTTCGAACTTTGTCTTCCCTCCCTCCACCGTCCAGTAAACTGGTGCGTGATGGAATCCCCAGAAACGCATGCTCTGTTGTTGAGTTCCTTCAGACAGCTCGCATCTCCCCCTTTGTTGCTCCGCTTTAAAAGAGGTGCCATTTCACATGCTGCACAAATTGTTTGAATTAATGCAAGTGTGAATTCTTACCGTTTGAAGGGGGCGATTAGCATATCAAAGGTTTCTTAGCTTCAGCTCAATTGAGAAAACTGCAGCCTGTCTTCCTTTTGCTTCCAAGCCGAGGCCCAAAGGGCAATGGGAATTGTAAAGGGTGCAAGCTGGAAGAGGGAATCAGGCTGTGCTGCCGAACTTTGACTGTTCTGTAATTATATGAACCAAAAAACATTGTCTGTTGCTCTGGAGCCCTTGCAGATGGCAAGACCATTATTTTCTATTGATAAATGGTTTGTTCCTAGGAAAACGGTGACCTTTTGTTTTAGGATTCTCTCTGTTGCCTGTTGTCTTTTGGGGTTCCCTTCGTGGAGCACTGAGAAAGCCTGACTGTGTAACCTAACGGTTTTCTCTAAAACCTAACGCACTTTGCTCTATTACCATAATTAGAAGGGCGTCCAATTAGCCTATACAACAATAGCTATTCTGTGATAAGACACTCACTGCTACACATTGGAAACTTTTTTTTATATACTTGCTAAATTAATAGGGAAGAAAAAGGAAATAGATCTTGTTGAAAATTAAAGGCCCACACGAGCTTTATTAACAGAACTTCTGAAACGAGTATCAGCTTGGAAAACATTTCTAAGTGACAGACTCAAATTTTATGACTTGTATTTAACTAGAGGTAATTCTATTTAGATAGAGTTTTGTTTTCATTTTTAAAAGTTGATCAAACACTAGACACCTTTTTTGTTTAGCATAAAGTTGTTTTCCAGTAAGGACACCTAGTTTATTCGATTTATTTATCTCCTCCCATCTGTAGAGCTCTCTGTTGTCTGAATTTCTTTTAGCAGCTCACAACTTGAATGAAAAAGGAAATAAGAAACTAGTCTGTGGGGCATTTGTGGAGGGCAGAGAGGTCAAGAGAGAAAACTCTTTTCTTCTGGGGAAAACTGCTTGTATTTATTTCATGTTAGTTTCTCAAAACTGATTTTTAAAGACAAACAGAATGGTTGAAGATTGTAAGCTCCCCACCCCCAATCTCTGGTTTACCAGTGATGTTTGGTTTTGACCAGGAATTGACAGTCTTATTTTG